CAGGGCTGAGCCGTGGCTTTGTGGGTATGCAGTGGGACAGTGGGTGCTGGGGGCCAGCACTCAGGGTGGGGCTGAGTGTGTCGCCTTGCTGTGTCCCACAGGCTGCGTGCGCCAGCTGCGCATCCAGAACGAGGAGGTGGCCTTTGGGGAGCTGGACCTGCCGGCACACGGCGTCTCCAACTGTCCCACGTGCCAGGACCATCCCTGCCAGGTGAGGTCGGGGATGATGCGTGCTGTCCCCTTCCACTGGTCCCATTCCTGGTCTTATGTGTGTCTCCAACCCACAGAATGGCGGCATCTGCGAGGATGCTGAGAGCAGCACCTACATCTGCCGTTGTCCCCAAGGCTTCACTGGCAGCAACTGCGAGTACTCACAGGCCCTGCATTGCCACCCAGGTGGGTGCCCTTGCCACAGGGGCGTCACCTGCTGCCCTCTGGGTGTGGGGATCCCCAGTGCTCATCTCCTGTCTCTGTCCCCTCTGTCCCTCTGCAGAGGCGTGCGGGCCTGACGCCACCTGCATCAGCCGGCCAGATGGGCAGGGCTACAGCTGCCGCTGCCACCTGGGCAAGATGGGGGAGAGGTGCACTGAAGGTGGGCACAGACAGGGGTGGAGCACCGGGTGGGGACAGTGCCAGGGACAGGGGTGTGGGGCTGGGACTCTCCTGGGGATGTGCATGGGCATGGGACCATCCTGGGGACAGGGGCACGGGGGGTAGGAGGACCTCTTTGAGGACACAGACATGGAGACGGGGATAACGATGATTCTGGGGACAAGGGCAATGGGCTGGAACCCCCTGGGAACACAGGTATAGAGGATGGGGATGACACTAGGGGCTCAAGCATTGGAGTGGGGATGACACAGCTCTGACTGCCCTGGGTACAGAGGCATGGGGCTGGGGGCAACCCTGGAGACAGGGATGTGGGATGGAGTGACCCTGGAGACGGGCATGGGGATGGGACAACCTTGAGGGCGCAGGCATGCATGGAGATGGCTCTGAGGACACAGGCATGGGGATGAGACCCCCCTGTGAGCATGGATGTGGGGCTGGGACCACTCTGGGGACATGAGCATGGATCTAGTCTGCAGCAGGAACATGGAGATGGAAATGACCCTGGGGACACGGGCAGGGGGTTGGGACAAAACTGGGGAAACAGGCGGGATGGAGACAGAGAACTTGTTGCCGCTTGGGGATGTGGTCATCATGGATCCAGTGGGGATGGGGAATTGGAGACCACCTTGGGGACACAGAAATGGGGCTAGGTACCACCATGGGAGATGGGGATGGTGGAGTCAGGGCCTGAAGTACTAGCCAGGGGAGGGGGGCACCGTCGGGACAGGTGCTGAGATGTGAGTGCTGCAGGGGAGGCAGTGAGCGTGCCATCCTTCGATGAGGCGGGCGCCTTCGTCTCATACCCACCCCTGACCAACGTTCACCATGAGCTGCGAGTGGAGGCCGAGTTCCTGCCACGTGCACCGGACGGACTGCTGCTCTTCAGTGCTGGCAAAGCCTCCCCAGTTGAAGACTTTGTTGCCCTCGCCATGGTCAGCGGACACCTCGAGTTCCATTATGAGCTGGGCTCAGGTATGCTGGCATGGCACAGCGGGGCCTGGTGTCACCAAGAGAGCTCTGGTGTTACCATGTGGGTTGCTGACTTGGCCAGGGTGGCCTGGCATCACTGGGGTTCCCAAGGACTATGGGATCCCTGCATGTCAGTGGAGTCCCCAGACATCATTGGGGTCCCCAGGCATCATTGATGTCACTGAGGATCCCAAGCATTGCTGCCCTCCCCCTCTTCCCCTAGCATCAGTTGGGGTTTTTTGGTGTCACTCAGGTCCCCAGGCACTGCCAGATTCTCCAAATGTCACAAAAGAACTTTAGCATATCTGGGGTGCCCCGGCATCTATCTGGCCCCTGGGAGCTGTCAGCATTTCTGGGCACTATTGATGTCTGTCGGGTATCCTGACACAATTGGGGTCTCTGAGAACCACAAGGGTCCCAGCATATTCTTGGAGTTGCCAAGCATCACCCAGGGCATCACTCAGGTCCCCAAGGAGTCCTGGTGCCCCCAGACTTCCCTGGGGGTGATGGCAGTGCTGAGTCGTGGCATCACTGCAGGCACAGCGGTGCTGCGGAGCGTCGAGCCGGTGGCACTGGGCCGCTGGCACCGGGTGACAGCTGAGCGGTTGCACAAGGATGGGACAATGACGGTGGACGGCAGCGCCCCGGTGCAGCGCTCCTCACCTGGCAAGAGCCAGGGGCTCAACCTGCACAGCCCTCTCTACCTTGGAGGAGTGGAGCCCCCCCTGCGGCCCCCCACCAACGCCTCGTTCCAAGGGTGCATTGGCGAGGTGAGCCCCCCGCGCATTGGAGCGGGGTGCCCCAGGTGCAGGGTGCCCTGGCTTAAACCCCTGTGTCTGGCGCAGGTCTCTATCAATGGGAAGAAGGTGGATCTGTCGTACAGCTTCCTGCGCAGCCGGGGCGTGGGGCAGTGTGGGCAGAGCTCGCCCTGCCTGCACGCACCCTGCCTGCACGGGGGCCGCTGCCTGCCCCTGCCTGCTGGCAGCCCTCCCTTCCGCTGCCTCTGCACCCCTGGCTTCAGCGGTGAGTGCCGTGGGGCTGGCTGTGTGCGTGCTGCGTGCGCCTGGTGTGTGCGCAGTGTGCTGTGCTCTGCGTGCAAGCGGGTGCAGGAGGTGCCGAGACCCTGCGTGCCCGTGTCACCATGTGCCACCACCGTGTCCCCAGGGCCGCGCTGCGAGCGGGTGGCCGACCGCTGCCTGGAGCACAACCCCTGCCTGCACGGCGGCACCTGCAAGGACAACGGCTGCGTCTGCCCCGAGGGCTATGGCGGCCCCTACTGCCAGCACGGTGAGCTGGGGGTGCGGGGACACGGGCACATGTGGGGATGAGCCACGGTCCCCATCGTCCTCTCGCCCGCAGGCGCGGAGCTGTCAGAGCTGGACCAGGACTGGCAGGAGGGCAGCGGTGGCAGCGGTACGCTCCCCTGGGGGCCGTGCACCCGTTTTCCCCTTTTTGCACCCAAACCTGCTGCTGGGGATGTGCTCAGCGGTGCCTCCTCTCCCCATCTCCCTGCAGACACGCCTGGGCAGTTCAGCGCCGTGTTCAGTGACGGCTCCTACCTGGCCCTGCCCGGCCACCTCTTCCCCCGTGGGTGAGTGACAGCAGGAACCGGGACCCTCATGGCATTGCACCCATCATAGTGTTGCACCTCTTCACACTGCATTGCACCTTCCCCCTGGCACTGCGCCCCTTTCCTGCAGCACTGCACCCGTTGCTGCATTGGACCTTTCTCCTGGTGCTGCATCCACTGCAGCATTGCATCCTTTCCAGCATGCTTTGCCCTGGCCACCACGTTGCCACAGTCACAGCATTGCACCTTTCCTGTGGTGTTGCACCCTTCAAGGCTGCTGCACTTGCACCCATTATGGTGCTGCATCCCTTCCTGCAGCATTGCAGCCATCATAACTTAGCACCCCTCCTGCTGTGTGGCACCCCTTGCATTCTTGCACCCACTGTGCTGTTGTATTTTACTGCATCCTTGTACCCAGCGCGTTCTTGTTTCCGTTGCATTCATGCGCCCATTGCATTCTACCTGCTGCATTCTTGAACCCATTGCATTTCTGCACCCATGGTGTTGCCCTGTCCCAGGCTCTGCACCTATGCCCTGCCCCTCTCGTTGCAGTGCACCTGATTTGCAAGACACCATTGAACTGGAGCTGAGGACAAGCAGCACTGAGGGGCTGCTGCTGTGGCACGGGGCGGTGAGCAGGGACACTGCCAGGGCATCCAGCCCTGGGTAGGGGACGGGGTTGTCCCCATCCCACTCACAGCCCCAATGTGCCCACAGGAGAGTGGCAAAGCCAAAGACTTCGTGGGGCTGGGTTTGAAGGATGGGCACCTGGTGTTCAGGTGAGGGGGGACACCTTTGTCCCTTGGAGCCCCACACCACCCATTCGTCCCCATGCTCAGCCCCGTGTCCCCACAGCTACCAGCTGGGCAGCGGCGAGGCCACCATCGTCTCCGAAGACCCTGTCAATGATGGCGAGTGGCACCACGTGATGGCGGCCAGGTGGGGTCAGGACACAACGGTGTGGGGGTTGGGGTTGGGACGTGGGTGCTGATGCTGCCCCATAGGCAGGGCCGGCGTGGGTGGCTGCAGGTGGACGGAGAGGAGCCGGTGTTTGGAGAGTCCCCAGGAACCAACATCATGGCCAACACCCAGGGCAGCGTCTACATCGGTATGGAGATGCGGAGGGTGGGGGCACAGGGTGTGGGGTTGGATGTGGGACATGGCAGGGGGCACAGTAGAGACGGGACAGGAAGTAGTGGGACATAATGGAGTATGGTGGAGGGAGGACATAGGAGACTGTATGGGGTAGGACATGGTGTGGGTGCAGGATGGGACACAGGGCAGAGGATGCTGCAAAGTATGGGACACGATGGGACACAAAACACGGAATGGGACACCAGGGGATGTGGATGAGGGATGGGACATAATGAGGTATATGGGAGTGATGGGACAGGACACAAATTGAATGCCAGATGGTACGTGGTGTGGCATGGAATGGGACACGGGACGTGGCATGGGGTGGGACATGGGAGGGGACGTACAATGAGACACGATGTGGGACACGGGATAGGACAAGAGAGGGGACAGGGAAAGGGGACATATGGTGCTGGGATGCAGCATGGCACTTGGGACAGGACACGGGAAGCAGACCTACGTGAGGACCGCGGGGTGCTGCGTCCCCATGTTCCCACACTCACGTATCCCCCCCTCCTGCAGGCGGTGCCCCAGACCCCCGCAGCCTCACAGCCGGCAAGTTCCTCTCCGGCGTGTTGGGATGTGTGCGGGGCCTGGTGCTGGCACCCGCAGGGACCCCCCGGCACCCCATTGACCTGCGGCACGGCGCGGTGGGGGGCTCTGCCGTCGCCCCCTGCCCCTCCTAGCCCCCCTCTTACCCCCACACAGCCTGGGGGACGAGTTTTGTCGGGTTTATTATTATTTTTCCAAAAAGCCACGAGAAAACGGTGCTTCGCTGCCCTGGGATGGCTCCGGGGGGGCCGGGACCCCACAGGAATGTTTACACCCCCCCTCCCCACTCCCGACCCAAGCCACGCTGGGGCGGCCGGGCCGCTCGGGTGCCTCCTGGGGTGGCACCTGAGTGGGGGGCACAAGGGACAATCGTGGGTGTTGGCGGGGACAGCGCGCCCCCCCAGCCCCCCTGTGCTGGGACACCCATTAAAGGAGAGAGAACGAGTGTGGGGGCCGTGTGTGGGTCTGCGCCTGGGGCTGTCATCTGAAATCCAGGAAGAACGGGGGCACAGGGCTCCACGTGGAACTGGGGGCTCTGTGGGGGAGGGGAGGGGGAAGCCGGTGCTTTGGGTGGGGCACGGAGGTGTGGGGCTGGAAAGGGAGCACGGGGGGGTGCGGGCATGGGGTTGAATACGTGGGGGAGCCTAGAGCAGATGCTTACGGAGGGGGGATGTATGGATCCGCGGGACTGATACGGGGGGATCGCGGGTGCAGCTATGGGGACCCGGGACAAGTGGATGTAGGAGCACGGGGGGTCTGGAGGGGTGGGACGCAGGATCTCGGGGGGACCGGACGCGGATATGAAGGTGTGAGGGGTACGGATACAGGGCTGCGGAGGGATTGGGTGCGGAAGAGGTTGGGCATAGGGTCCGAGGAGGTATGGAGGCGGCTGCAGGGCCCTGAGGGCGATGCGTGAGACGGCGCGGGGCGGAGCTGACGGCCGCGGGGATCAAACCGGTCCGACCCGAGCGCTGCAGGACGACCGCGGCGTCGCGTAATGGCGGCTGGAAGCGGCCTCGCCGGAAGCAGGCTCCGCCGGAAGTAGGCCCGCCCGCTGCGTCGCGCAGGATGTGACGTCATCAACTCGCGCCACAACGGGCGTTACCGCGTCGCCGTTACCGGTCCTGACGGCGGCGGGGGGGGCCGGGCCGGGTCGGGCCGGGGGGGCGATGGCGCCGGTGGCGCCGCGGCTGCAGTTGGAGAAGGCGGCCTGGCGCTGGACTGAGACGGTGCCGCCCGAGGCAGTAACGCAGGAGCACGTCGAAGCGGCCTACCGCGTCAGGCTGGAGCCCTGCCAGCGCGGCGCCTGCCGGTACGGGCGGGTCCGGCCCGAGCTCCCGGCCCCGGGCCTCGCTTCCTTCCCCCGCCTCCTTCCGCGGTCCCCGCTCTCCGCCTCCCCCCGGGGCTGTGTGGCAGCGGCGCTCCTCCGCTCCTGGACCTTCAGGGCTGTGGTTCTCCCCCAGCTCCCTCCGTTGCCCCCCGCGCTCCCCGGAGCGCTTTCCCGCGTTATCCCCGGAGCTTGGGGGTCCCTCTCCCTGTCTGTCCCCGGATATGCGGCCTGGGCTCGTTGGGGCCCGCACCACTCCCTGCCCCACCCCAACCCCCCCCCCCCCCCCCCCCCCTTTGCTCCCTCCGGCTCTCAGCATGCCCCTGGGGCTCGCTTTCCATCCTCCCTCGGTGGGCTTCCCCAGTTCTCTCACAGCCCTGTGTTTTGGGGAGGTGTGGGATGCTGCCAGTCCCCCTTGCTGTCCCCACCTTCCCCCCCGAGTTCCCAAACGAGGGGCTCTGTCCCTTCCATGGGTGACGGATGGTCCTGGTGCTGGTCCTGCAGGAGGAACTGCCGGGGGAACCCCAACTGCCTGGTGGGCATTGGGGAGCACGTCTGGCTGGGCGAGATTGACGAGAACAGCTTCCACAACATCGATGATCCCAACTGCGAGCGCCGCAAGAAGGTACAGCCTGCATCCTGACCCAGGATGAGGCGGGGGGCACCTCTGTCACACCTGTCCCAGCTGTTAGAGGGATGCACAGTGCCTCCGCTGCTCCCATCCCAACTGCTGCATTTCTACTTGCTTCTCGGCAGTGGCAGATGATAACTGTTGCTTTCTTTCTCACACCAGAATGCATTTGTGGGCTTAAAGAACCTCGGCGCCACGTGCTATGTGAACACCTTCTTGCAGATGTGGTTTCTTAATCTGGAGTTTCGGCAAGCCCTCTACTTGTGTTCTAGCAATGAGCCCAAAGACAAAGGTCAGTAGAAACTTTTCACAGTAGGCTTTTTTTTTTATTATTTTTCATTTTTTATTTTGCTGTGAGTGAAGAGGTCTTCCTCGTTTTCTTCTAAAACCTGGTGATGTAGAATTTGAGAGTGCATTTGTGGTATAATGCTACAGCTGTTGGTTCCATCTCTGTGTGACTCTTCAAGTCCCTCACTCAGCTTTTAGGAGCAAATGAAGCTAAACCATCCTTATCATTTTTTTCAAATCACAGTGATCTGTTTTGATTAAAAACTCGCTTGGGATTTCTAGTTAGAAAGCTGTGCTTGGTGCCATGGATGGCGAGGATTCAGGTGCTAGATGTGAGGGGCTGTGCTGCTGCACCTTCTGCATGGTGCTGTGCTGGAGGTGTGCTCTGAGCCACCCCGCTTTTGCTGTATTCAGTGAACAGCACCTTGCTGTTTGGCTCGAGCTGTTTTCTGACAGCTCACGTTGGGTGCTGCGGGATGTTTGGCCTGTGCTGGGGCTTGGTGCTGTGTGGGCACCCAGCAGCAGCTCAGCTCCGACCTCTTTGCTCACTGCCTCTTCTCCCACGGAGTTGGAGGAAAGAACTGGGAAGAAAAAAATAGAGCTTGTGGGTAGAGATAAGAACTCTTTACTACAGCAGAAAAGGAAGAGGGAAATGAGTGCGATGGTATTTTACTGAGTGTTTATAAAACAAGCGGTGCACGAGGCAGCTACTTACCACCTGCTGTCTGGTGCCCGGAGCAGTGGCTGTGGCTGCCACTCCAGTCTCAGTTTTCTGGTTTCACATGATGCCGTTTTTCATGAAATATCCCTTTGGCTGCTTTAGGTCAGCTCTCCTGCTTCTGTCCCTCCCAGCACCTCGTGCTCTCCAGCCCCCTGGCTAGCAGGGCAGAAGGAGCAGCTGGAAAGCTGAAACCTCCTTGGCTCTGTGCAGCGCTGCTCAGCAACAGCTAAAGCATTGGGATGTTATCAGCGCTGTTTTTCTCCTAAACGTAACATTGTACCAAACACTGTGGAGAAGATGAACTCTGTCTGCTGAAGCCAGGACAGTAAGCTGTCATCGCTGACATTAACCACATCAGATCTCATGATGGTTTAAAACAGCTCTATTAAAGTGTGATTATTTTTTTTTTAGTTTTTCTTTGTACAGTTAACTTGTACAGTTTGTCTTTTTTTTTTTTTTTTTAATAGACTATGAGCCTCAGGCCGTTTATGAGCATCTTCAGTACTTGTTTGCCTTGCTGCAGAACAGCAGAAGGCGATACATCGATCCCTCTGGGTTCGTCAAAGCGCTGGGCTTGGATACAGGCCAGCAGCAGGTAGGCTTGAGTCTTGCCTGTAATTACCTTCTCTAAGGAAGTGTGAAACTGCCCTTTTAGGTGTTATTTGAGCGATCTCTGAGCTGGGGTCTGCTGTTCAGCCTCGTTTGTACAAACACAAAGGGAGGAGAAGTGCTTCAGGCGCTTCCTGGAGTGGGTGTAGGAGGACTGGCACCGTCAGGACACTGAGCTTGCTGAGGAGTGAGCCAGGACCACGTTTCCCAGAGTGAGAGGCACTGGGAAGGGCTTTGTACTGCAGAACTCCTCGGGGAGGCTGAGGTCCTGCACGAGTCTGTAAGCAGAGAACTTGCTTTTGGGAGAGGTGAGTGCAGTGTGGGGCTGCTCCGGATACTGAAGGGGGCTGAAGAGAAGGATAGAGCTTGCAAATGAGCTTTGAGTAGTAAGGGAGGACAGCTGAAATCGGAGCCAGAGCGCCGGCATACAATGCCTGGGGAGGATGAGGGAGGGGAAGGTCGCTCCTCGTCCTTGGGAAGGAAGTGGTCGTTAGTGACCAGTGATTAAAGGTCGGCCAAGTGCCACGTGCCGTTGTGACAGTGGTAGGAACCAGAGAGAGGAGCTGTGGGACCACAGCAGGCTCAGCATTGAGAGGAGAGCTGAGGGCTGGGCGGGCGAGGTGAAAGCCAGCTTGTTTTCTGGAGGAGGGAAGAGGCAGCACGGAAGGCAGAGTGCTGTGGGGAGAGGATTGCCCTAAGGGGTGTGGAGCAGCTCCTGGGCCTTGCAGGAGGAAGGGAGCAAAGCCACAGTGCAGCTTCTCAATTTTATTTCCCCAGTGTCGCTCGGTGCAGGCAGCTCGTATTGTGTGCTGAGGCTTTGACTAATGAGCGTTAACAAGACAGAAAGCTCTGCAGGAATGGCAGGCTGGTGAGATTGACTCCCACCCAGCCACGCTGGGGCAGGGGATGATCAGTGCTCTGCAAGCTGCTCCTGCATCCCCTTCAGAGCTGCTGTGATCTGGCAGGGCAGAGCAGCACGCCGTGTCTCCATGGCTGGGCAGCAGGAGCTGATGTCTGCACGCCAGGTGGAGCACGAAGGGATTGACGTGGTTAACGAGCCGCTGTTTTCCATCCAGAACCCTGCGAGCAGCGGGGCAGAAGTCAAAGCCACCCCAAGCTGCTGGCCCACAGCCAGCCTCGCTCCTGCTGTGCTCTCACGCTGGGAGCCTTGTGCTCCTCTTAGGCAAATTCCTCTTTTCTTTAGTTCTCCCAACCGGTCTCTTTCTATTCAGGGCACGCCGGAGTCTCGGCGCGGGCTGTGTGTAGGGCTCTGTTAATTTGCAGTAAATTAGCAGTGATTGCGCTTTGTGCCATGGCGTATTGTTAAAACCTCGGCTTTCTGTTCCAGGATGCCCAGGAATTTTCCAAGCTTTTCATGTCACTGCTGGAAAATACTTTATCCGAACAAAAAAATCCAGACGTTCAAAACATTGTTCAGAAACAGTTCTGTGGGGAGTACGTCTATGTCACGGTGTAAGTATGTGGTCTTTGGGAGGAATATTTAAACATTTGAGAAGGATATGAGGGGAAATTTCCCTCCTGACAGCTGGAGCAGGCAGGTAAGCTGCTGAAATGCTGTGTAGGAGGCTTCTGGAGTTGTAAGCAGGTGCTCCGTGTTTTACTGTAGGTGCTGTTATCCTGCACGCTGTCCTGCAGTGCTGTGATGTGCCACGGTAGCTGTTATGTAGCTACAGGGGGAGGGCTGCTGGTGGCTGGGGAGTTGCAACTCATCAGCTGGTGAACTTTTCTCATGCATTTGTGTTTTCTTGTTATTCTAGCTGCAACCAGTGTGGCAGGGAATCCAGACTCGTGTCTAAGTTTTATGAGCTGGAGTTAAACATCCAGGGACATAAGCAGCTGACAGACTGCCTAACAGAGTTTCTTAAGGTATGGGCTGGTTGATTTGTGAGCTGTGCTGTTCTCAGTGAGGTGTTTCTGTTCCCTCCATCAACCAACAGCTTCTCAAGTCGGTATGCTGCTGGAGCTGAGCTGACTGGGGGAGATGAATGCAAAAGGAAATGCTTTTCTGTGAATCCAAAAAAGAGGATCCAGTCATGCACTCCAGACGGGAGGGAGGAGTAGCTCTGGGTGGGATTGCTGCACGTGCACTTGTAATAGCTTTAAAAAGCACTTAAAGCACTTCGGAAGCTGTGTTTAGTCATAATGCCTTCCCAGGAAAGCTGTGAAAAAGCCCCTGGGAAAAAAAAAAAAGTCTGACCAAAAGTGCCTGCGTGCTTTGTCATGGATAGCACCGGGAGAATGGCTGCTTTTTGTGTTTTCTATATCGGTGCTCATCTGCATAGCAACAGGAGGCATTCCCTGCTCTGAAACAGCTCTCAAAAAATACTAGCAAGGCCCCAGAGTGGCTGGAGGGAACAGCTGCAAGTGCTCTGTTTTGACGCGAAAATCTGCTGGAATCTGGAGTTGCTGCCCTGGCAAAGGCTGGAGGCCTGGGTGCAGAGCTGACCTGCAGTGTGACGCTGCTCCTTCCAGGTGTGCTGGCAAAAACCACAGCGCTGTGTGCACACGAAGGGGTGGCTGCATGCAGGCGGCAGTGCTGCTGCCCTGACACGGGGAGCTTCCATCTGTGTGGTCCTCCTCCAGATGACACGGTTGGATTTGCAGTTCTCAGGCCTAATCCTGCCGCTGGCACTGTCCAGGCACAGACTCTCCTTTCTTTGGCTGATGTGTGTTTTTCTGGCCCCAAAGGACTGCGATTTCCAGGCTAGAATGTGGCTGTACATTAACTTGGTCTGCGTGATCTCCTAAAAGGGCAGTTGCTTTGTTTTCTTTCTCCTTAGCCCTACTGGTATTAAACCAACTTGATGCACTTCGGTCAAGTGGAGAGCAAACCTGGCAGCCTTGTAAGCAGCCTGAGGTCTGGCTTGACATTTAAAGTGACAGAGGTCTGCTATGACTATGCTATGAAGTGCCCTTATTAGCCCAGAGGATTGCAAATTTCCGACCTGTAGATTATTTTGGAAGGCGGCTGGGTGGAGACTTCAATGATTAAAATAACGTCAGTGCTTTCCAGTCTCCCGTGGGTGGCTCAGGTTGAGGGGCTGACTGCAGGGGTAACCTGTTCTCAAGATCTTTCTTTCTGCCCCCCCTCCCCTGGTCAGGAAGAAAAATTAGAAGGAGACAATCGTTATTTTTGTGAAACGTGTCAGAGTAAGCAGAATGCCAGAAGGAAGATCAGGCTGCTCAGTCTTCCCTGCACACTCAACCTGCAGCTGATGCGGTTCGTGTTTGACAGGTAAGCCTCCCTCTGGAGCGCGTGCTGTAAAAACAGGAGTGCCTTGGGTGCTCGGAAGCCCTTTGGAAAGCCATCTGCTCTGCTCTTTCTGCATTGGTTTGAGATGTTGAGGATTGAGTGCGTGCATGAGCTTCTCTTGGGATGCTCGGTGGGCTTCGAGGAAAGTTGCTGTGAGATGTGAGCTGTTATTGCTGTCCCCTGAACTGAAGCTTGGCCATTTGCCTTCGCACAGACAAACCGGACATAAGAAAAAACTGAACACCTACATTGGCTTCTCTGAGGTGCTCGACATGAAGCCTTTTATGGAACAGCAAAGTGAGTAGCACGCTGTGGTAATTGGCAGTTACCTCTCAACAAACGAGAGGGGATCTTGTCTGAATCTGCTCATAGCTGGGGAGTTTGTCCAGAGCTGTTGGAAGCCTGAGCAGCAGCTGCCTGTGCCTAGCTGGGCAGGTTGCAGGAGTTCTAACTAGCAGTGTGAAGAGGGCTTGGGCAGCTAGGTGCAGCCTTTGCATGCTACCCTGCAGAAAGCTGAAGTGCTGGGGAAGAAAGCAGGAGCTAAATAACCACTGTTTCCCTTCCAGGTGGTGCTTATGTATATGAACTGAGTGCTGTTCTCATACACCGAGGTGTGAGTGCATACTCAGGGCATTACATCGCCCACGTGAAGGACCCACAGACAGGAGAATGGTACAAATTCAACGACGAAGACACTGAGAAGATGGAGGGCAAGAAACTGCAGCTGGGGATTGAGGAAGATCTAGGTAAAATCTTTGAGTTGTGAGTGCCCTTTTAAAATAACTCTTTTCACGGAGGCTGAGTACGCGAAGGCCCTGATGCTCCTAAAAACAAAAGTGCTCCTACACATGCTGTCACATCTTAGCAGTAAGGTGTGAAATGGCAATTCTGTTAATTGCTGCCAGATCTTCACTGCAGCCCCGTGCAAGTGTTTACGCGTGCCTCGTGATCATTCCCTTTCCTCTAGTATTTCTCTTGCTGCCACATAACATGCAGATAACACGCTGATAAGTTGTGCTGCTATCGGGGTGGAGCAGCTGCTTCCTTGGCCAGCGTGCAGGAGGAGGCTCAGGAGCAGATATCAGCACTGTTGTCAGTTTCCTTAACGCGCTGTTTTCATTTCCACGGCGTTGTTTTAATCTTTGGCTCTATTAGGAGGCGGCAGAGAGTTCAGACCAATCTCAGTCCAAAAAATCCAAGATAGCCTTTTTCAGTTCGTGCTTTTTGCTTTTCCTTGTGCTGCTGTCACCTCACCTCCTGCTGGTGTCCTCTTACAGCACCAGTAACCCATTCCCAAAACACTTCCACCTGGGTGCTTCTGTTGTGCTGCATTTCCAGCACCAGTCATTGGACTTGGTGAAACACTGCCTTTTTTTAAAGCATCCTTAAACAACAGCTTAATGAAGACGTGCCCTTAGGTTTGTGTCCAAAGCCTGAGTGCAGCTGTGGGATGCTAGCCTGCCTCTCCTCTTGCCTATGCAACACCTGCAGGACGCCACTTTATTTTCAGCTCTCTTGCTAATAAACACCTTCTTGCATTTCATCAGGGTGTGCGTCAGTGCAGGCTGCCACCAGAGCAGCTTTGTCAT